AGATGGGAAAAAGTAGTAGAAAATGGAGGAAATTACTTTGATTAAGGTATTCATTCATCTTCCCTTCGAAACAAATCAATTTTGGAGACGAAAAAACAGCAGGAATTAAGTTTAACACCTAATAGTATTGCTTATATGAATTATTGTCTACAGCTTGATTGTCTACAAACATTTTTACGCGTAAATAAAAATTTCAGAGATAACATCACATTTGCGAAAATGTATTATTGCCTACAGATCGATTGCCTACAAATATTTTTGCACACAAATATAAAATTAAAATTAAATTACGTAAAAAAACAATTTGTATTTTTAAAACAGAGAATTTGTGTCTTTAAAGCAGAGAGTACATACATGCAGTAGGCAATCGAACTGTAGGCAATAATACATGTAGGCAAATGTGATTTCGTTTCTAAAATTTTATTTGTGTGCAAAAGTGCTTGTAGGCAGTCGAGTTGTATAGGCAATAATTTTTACGCACAAATGAACTGCCGGCAAAGATAATGTAGGCAAACGATGCTGCAAGCAATCAATTTGTAGGCAAACGGGATCGTCTCCTTTATTCGACGTCCTGGAAACGTCCTTAAAACATAGGGTCCTCTTCTGGACGTTTTTAGGATGTCCCTTGGAGGTGTCGTGCTGTACGAGTATTATTGACGATTTTTGTGAAAAATCGTGTCGAACTTTCTTCATAGGTACGGTTATTTCTCCATCCGACGTCGAACTTGTACTTTCTCTTCGTTAAATATTAATCTAAAACCCTGCGAAAGCGGCATTCGTTTCGCGAAATGCCTGCTCTCGCAGGCATTTCCTATGTTAAGTATATTTTATATCTAGTGCTGTCTCTTTTCGGTTCCGACAATTTCTTGGGAACGTATCGTTCGTCGTTGAATTCGATCGGTGGCACCGGGGTGGATGGTCGCTCATCGCTCTGGCTGAAAGCTCTTCTTGGCGGGATATCGGGGATCATTCGAGTGCCTTTGCACTCAACACTGCCCCTCTTACCCAGATTTACGCTGACGTAACTGGCATCACTGGTACGCGAGTCTCTTTTTCTGAAGTCTATTTCTACGTAGCTGACTTGGGAATCGCGTGGTTTCATGCTCACGTCCGAATTCCGTTCGTTCTCCTTATCCACCAATCTCATAATAGCTTGTGTTTCTGGTCGATCCCTTTTGAACGTCACTAGTTCCGGCTGCCGAGATGAACGAGACTCTCGTCGGACTATCTTCTCATCGTAGTCATCCGAGTAAGTGCGCCGTTCGCGGCCGCGAAGTCGCTCCACACTGAAATCCTCACTATATCGCAATTTGTGATTGAACTTTCGTAGACGCTCGTCTTGCTCGTCCGCAAACACTTCGCATGCTTTGTGAATATTGCATTTTGGTTTTCGTTTGTCTTCCTCATGTTGAGCCTTGGACTGCGGAAGATAAAATAAAAATAAGGTGAGCTAACTGTTTAAAGTATCAGATTTTAGTATTGATCCTAAAAAAATTCAACGTAGATACCTTAAAGATATCGATTCTGTCATTGAACTCCAAATCTTGACTATTTCTGCGAATCGGTAGATAATTGTTCCTCTCCTCCTCGCTGCTGCTCTTGCTAATCCAAGTGTTCTCCCGGGAAGTCCCTGCCCTCTTCGGCCACTCGTTCTCAGTCTTAAAATCGTATAAGTCGCGCATACGTTCGCTAAGTTTACATGCTCGTTCGTCAGTGTCGACATAACTCAAGGAGCGATCTTTCGCTCGCTCATTAGTATCGACAAAGCTCAAGGAGCGATCTCTGCCAATGTCTAACTCATCTGTAATCAAACATTCAATATTATTAAAATAGTCTGCATAAATCGAGTGCGTGTAATAACTCGTAAGAATGACCGCTTTGCATACTTTGTCTTTCTAAACGTCCTTTCTCGTTCTTTGCCGGAGAGAACTTTCTGGGAGGTTGCCATTTAGAAGCGTCCGCGTCCTTGCGCGATCCTTCGTCCTTTCTGTCGTGTTCCGTTACGGAATCTTTCCTCTCAGAATTTATCCTCGGTACAGGTGACGGACTTTTGGTAAACGTCATCCATCGAGTAGCTGCGCTCTTCGTGATTTCACAGCCAATTCTTGCAAGGGGAGACGTCTCTCGATAAAATTTCGCACCATTAATGTGTGGTAGCCATCTGAGAAAATTATGTCAAACTCTTGCCTCAAACGTTTATTTGTTATTTTAATTATATATTAACGCATATTCACGCAAATACAAATACAAAGCAAAAATCTCATATCTCTGATAAACATATTGTCATCCATGATTAACTGCAATAGATTACTTCAACAACGCTACTGGGTTGATAGAAAAATGACCTGTTTCAAAATTAACAACTTTTTAGTAAAGCATTTTTTTAATTCTGAATTGAAACAACATTTTAATTAGGATAGTAAACATGATATGTTTTCAATTATAAAGTATTCTTTAAAACTATATTATAAGTTTTCAAAATTCGATTACTGCAATCCTAGTGTAGTATAAATTTCATCTTTTGTCAAAGTTGTAACATTTTTTCACATAAACACATGAGCTACAAATGTTATTTTTCTACAAAAATGTATTAGTCATTATAGTCAATTTCCTTTCATTATCTAAATACCTAAAAAATGCTAATTTTTTAAACAATATTAAGTAAAGAACGCTAATTTACTTATGTCACTTTTCTGTCAATACGGCGATATGTACAACTTCAACGAGAATTGGTGAGCTTCATTTTTAAATTTATATTCGTTTTTCGTCACCACAGCAAACTTATTGATCATTATTAAAAATATCTGTTGAAGCAATCTATTGTATATAATAATTTTTTATTTAAACATATAACTAATTAAGTTGAGCTTGTTTTTGATAGCTTTAAATAAAGAATGCTCAATTATTAAATTATTAATGACTTAAAATATACTAGAAAAAAATCGCAAAATCAATATTAATTATCCATATTTTTTATTATGCATATTTTTCAGAGAAATAAAATTTTTATCATAAAACTCTCTTTTTTTTCAAATATTATCCCACGTAAATAAAGGAGAAGGGAATACATTTGAATATTAAAACAAACTTTTACAAACTTCGAAAATTCTCGTTATTATGTATCGAATAGCTATTTTTATAAAACTTTTAGTTCAAAGTATGAACCATAAATATACGATGAGCGTCACAACATGAAAAGATATTAGCGACTAGTTCCGGTCGATGGAGCAAACTAGGCACCATTATGTTTTCACGTTGCTCTGCACTCAGTTCTTAACCAACGTGAATTTTCATCGATAAATTACGAACACCGGCTCGGCTACACAAAAGGAAAAGGCGAACGAAGGAAGCAGAGAAATCTGGCCGAAACTAGACGCCATTACCCGTTGGAGACTCCGTAATGACTATCGTGTTCAATCGCGCCTATGAATCTGAATTACAATCCCGATCACGGCATTTCTCGCTTTCGGACGTGGAAAATGTGCGCAGTCAACCTCGTGGCGATAGTTTGCGAGTCGCTGCAGTCCGTGTGCCTTCGCTGCTCAGTGATGCTCTTTTCCGGCCTCTTAAGAATGGTTACGTCGGTGCTGTGACTCCTCACGGTGTAGTGAGATCGACCGACGACCTCGGGTACAAGTCTGGAGGATCGATTGTCGGTTGAACAAGGTGGCTTCGTTGACCACTTCTCGGCATCCTCAGCCGATTCGTAGATGCTCTCTTGCCGTTCATCCCTCGAGAATCTCTTGGTCGCCCCCGATTGCTGCCCCCGAGGTACGTTCTTTGGTAGCGGCATCCACTTTGAAGTGTCCAATTTGCTGGTGTCGCTGGTATCTGTGTGTCGACGTTCCTCCACTCGACGCTCCGTATATTTCTTTAGACAGTCCACGTCCGCGCTGCGGCTACGCTGACTTCGCGGTGATCGAGATGGTCTTCGTAATTGCCCGTTGTCCACCGGGCCGGCCCTTTCCTAAAGTTTGAGCGAACGCATTCGTCGAGAGATGTTGATTGCACTTGGAATCATCGTATTGGGATAATGTGCTTTTAAATAATATTTTAAAACTAATGTTTTTTTGTGACTTTGAGTGATAGGGAATTTAACTGTCTCATTCGTAAAGAGAATAAAAAAACTTCTCAACACAGTTTTATAAAATATATCTTTTAATCATGTCTTTATGTCTCTCTTATAGCTTGTATATTTTATATTTATAATTCTGATAATATATGAATTTTTTATGTATACATAAATGCCTATTTTTGATAATAATATTACGATTCGAAATCAAATTTTTTATATGTTTAATCCATGTCGAAAATGGATTGAAAATTATATAAAGTATCAAGGGAACCACACGAAGTGTTAAATTCTGATTTTAAACTTTGTATACATATAGATTACATAAAAAGATGAATTTAGAAAATATTAATTGCGGCGGAAACGGTTTGAAAGGATGAAATCACTCCTTATACAGCCCAAGTAGCACAGTAATGCTTGTAAAGTGCCAAAAAAGCGATTATATGCTTTTTTTAGCGCTTTGTTAACGCTTTGTAAGCGCTGTGTGCTACTTAAGAGGTAACGCGGGTTTTAGTTTTTTTTATTATATTTTAAAAACTATTCGAGATATAAAAAAATGTTTTGTAAAATTTTACAATAAAATTACCTCTGTTCATCCACGTCAATAATGTTGAAAAATAAAAAAAATTTATTTTAATTAAAAAAATTGTTTATTAAAATATTATTGACATAAATGAATAGAGCTAATTTTGTTGTAAAGTTTTTGTATAACACATTTTTTGATATCTCGAATAGTGACGAGGTATAATGGAAAAATCTGAAAATTGCTTTATTACATAAGGAGTGATTTTATCCTTTCAAACCGTTTTTCTATCGCAACGGATATTTTCTAAATTCATCTTTTTATATAACCTATATAAGAGCAATCTGTTAGCAAAAATCCTTTATTATAGCAAAAAATTTTAGTAATTAAGTTAATTAACTTCTTTATTGTATAGAGGGGGATAAGGAATGGAGGAAAGAAGGAATAAATCATTTAATAAACTCCTAATAATAATTTTTCATTGAACAATTCAATTTTTTCGATAATTGAATATTGTCTAGTAAATACACGCAATGTATTATTGATAATTCTAATATTTCTGCTAATAAATACAAAGATAAAAAAATGAGATTTTATCTCAACTGAATAAAAATATGTGTTGCCGTATTGACAATATAAAGGCATCATTCATAGTTCCACATGTGGATCGCAAAATCGAACTTCGTTCAGCAAGGAAGACCAGCGTTGATAAGGAGGCGCTTGTCGGGGGTTACCTAAGTAAGATGGAGCTTCGCGTAATCCGATATGTGGAGGATCCCGTGCTCCGCGGATGCGACATGCAAGCTAGCGCCGCACGCGCGTGGATTGATCTTAGAATTATGCAGCTCGGCTATTTGAGTGCTGCATGCGGCCGCGGGATCGCCGCTGGTTTCTAGACTTCCTACCCAGAATTCATTCCCTGTAAAAAGAACATCATTGTCTTGAAGAGAGAGATGTTAATATCTCACAAGTAAATTTGAGAAAACGTCAGACACAGATTTTTCTCAAATTTTTATAGTTATTTCTTATGTCAAAGTATAAAAAAAATCTGTCACTAATTAAAATATTCAATTAAAAAAAATTTTTTTGTATTTAACATGTTTAAAGCAGTGTTTTTTCTTAAGAATAAATTTATACCCGATTTTTTAAAGCTCGACACACATATAAAACACCAAAATAATAATTAATAATGTAAAAAAACGGTTCCACTGGCAAAAAATATATACTGCTTTAAACATGTGTAAAATCGAGTATTTATATAAAACAAAAAAGTTTTTTTTAATTGAAAGACTCAATTTAAGCTAAGATTAAATACAGATTTCTTCATCTTCATACTTTGACAAAAAACAGCTATAAAAAATTTGATAAAATCGGCGTCTGACATCACCTAAAGTTTATTTATGTGAGCGTTGATATTAAATAAACTAACACTTATTTTTAGATAAATAAATAAATAATGAAATAAATAATTTAAACCTGGTAACGTATTTCCATCGCTAGCATAAGTTACAACGAGGAGTTTACTTGAATCTTTGGCTCGAAACAGTCTGCTGTGTGGTTCTCTCAGAGCAAAATGTATTTTTATATCTAAAAATAATCATTGTGTATAAAAGTTATATTGTGTATATAAGCATATTTATATTTCTCCGTTCATTAAATACTAACCACCCAGATAATCGCCGTTTCCCGCACCACCGCATTTCTGTTGTCGGAAATAAGCAAACATAATGTCAGAAACGTATTTGAGCTTCTTGTTCATCTTTTTGATGGCGATCTCGAATGTTTTGAGGAAGTAGACTTCCTGATCTTGAATTACTTTCCAGACACCTGCCAATAATTATTTAATTAATAAATAATTAAAGAGAACGGTATGAAAAATAATTTCAATAATTGATTGTATATAATAACATTTAAGTTTTTAGTCTTATAATGCTTAACTTTATAATATTTAATTTTAATCTTATAAGCTTTAACAATAAAAGCTTCACACTAACCGAGACCAAAACCAACCACGTGTAAGAAAGCGGTGGTGTTTTGCTTCTCGGCGCGGCTGTTTGCTTCGAGCAGTATTATCTCTACGGAGAGCAAAGTTCTCTTCATGTAATTCTCGATATCGAAAATTAACTGATTGCCCAATGATATATATCGTCTGTTCTCTTTCGATTTCATACGTTTCACGGTTTCATCGTAGAGTGGGTGATAATCCTCGCCATAAAACTTGGCCCATAAAACACGCATCCCGCGTTTTTCTTCGAATGTGCCATCCATCGCGGATCCATATCTATTTCGCATAGATTGATTCTTTCAAAAAAGTTTCATTTGTATACTGCAAAAGAACTAGAGAGTGGTGTACATTATAATGTAATTTAATTCGGTTATTAATCTATTATTATCTTACCACAAATACAAGTTACATATGCAACAAATTTTGGTAGAAATGATGTATGTATACATCTTATTAATTAAAATTTTTACTATTATTAAGAGGAAAAATTAAAAAAATTAACTATAAATATTATTGAAGCACTGATGTTCCCTTATGCGATGCGATGTTTCTTCTTGATATGTATACAGAGGAAACAATTTAATTTTGAATGAAAATTATTTTGTTTAATCCTAAAAATTTAGTTTGAATATAATCAATTACATTTCTTAATTTAAAGAATCGATTTAGTTGAACAATTCCAAAATGACTACATTTATTAAATTAAAAAAATTGTTTTCTCTGTGTATTGCTCAATAAATTTATATTTAATTAACAATTATTGCGGAAAGTTACTGCTTACCCATTATCCATATTGTTTTGCTGTGGTGTAACGGCAATGTCCTGATACTCCATATATCGGGGCTTTTCGAATCTATATGACAAATTAAATGGTACGAGTGGCTCATATTTAATGATAACATAGCAACGACAAATTCTAATGTCTACAAAAGATAGTAATAAAAATAAAAAAGTATATTAAAAATGACTAATTATTTATAATTTTAACAATTTTTTAACCGTGAAAATTTTTATAATTATAAATAACCACATGTAAATGAGATAAAAATAGAACACGCATCTACAGACGCGACGGCAATGTTACGGAGAGTTTGCACGTATAAAAATTCCTGAAGAAGGAGGGATTAAATAAATGCATAGAACCTTGTGCCTACGACACCCATAATAACCCCTCTGGGTTGGACGGCGTCTGGGTCACGGCTCACGATACCTCTATTATTTCGCGAACCGTCGTTTATGAACTCCGTATGAGACGATACCACCATCATTGCCGACAGTTTAATCTCGTCGTAGCTCAAGCATTTTGCTAGGACCTATTCATGAGATTTTAAAGCCTATTAAAGCATTGTGACGACGAAGAAGGTGATATACGAGAGAAGGTGATGTTATGAAACTTGTTTTTAACATCCAATAAACTTCCAATATCGGTAAATGATTAATGTACGTAACATTACATTAATCTGTAAGCAATTTAATAACCTGCGGCTATACTATAAACTGATAAAGTAAAAGAGTAAAAAGAGAAGAATAAGAATAGAAATTTTTATGAAAATATTATTTGTAAGAAAATTGCGAAAAATACTTCCCAACTTCGTTATTTAAATATATATGTAACTACTTTTGTGATAATATAAAAAGAATTATATATAAAACACTATAAATAATAAAAGGGCATAGAACCATTGTTATAACAAACATGTTTAATTACAAAAAAATATAATATCACGTATACAATTATATATTTTTGCTTTTATTTATTGAAAGCCAAAGCTTTTATTTATTTAGCCAATGTTTGGTATTGCTTGTATCATCGAAAAGGAATTAAAATTTTAAAATAAATTAACATTAAAGGTCTTGTATGTATTTTCTCTAAATTAAGTTTGATTATTACCTTATTTTTTGTTTTACCTATAGATAATTTAACCATAATAATTATTTTTTATAAAGTATATTGCTTGATTAAGACGACGTCATTAGGTACTTACCAATGGTTCCTTCTCCTGATCAGTGCCAACACTCTCCCAGGCATCGAAGCCACTCTTGTTATCGAGTAATTTCCATCGATCGTTAGCTCCACAGAAGGAGGCCACTCTCTTATCCAGCAGGCGATGGATGAATTGAATGAGGTCCATGTCCGCATACATGACTTTCTCAACAGGGCTACCATACAATCGCTTGTGTTTCAACCATCGCGCAATCAAGGGTAACATCGCTTCATGTATCAGTGGATATACCGAATTTGCATTTAACTAAAAAATGTCATAAAAGATCATTAAATATGTATTAAATTAGCCGAAATTATTACATATTATAAAAAATGATAAAAAGAAATATCTCAGATTTAAGGACAGAATTATAATCTTTAAACTATATATTCTTGTAAAAGACTTCTAAACGAAACAAGTAAATTTTTGATAATAAACATTTCAAACGATTTCTCTTTTAAATATTTAATAAATATTTAAAAGAAGTATTAATTAAAGTAGAAATATTAAGCATCCGTTTTTTTTGTCTAGTCAGACAAACAAATGTATACTAATCGCTTGAGCAAATAACTTATTTTATACAAACCTCGATAGAATCCGTGCTGATTCCCCTGTCCTTCAAAGCGGCGCATTTTACAGTGTTAATTGGAAACTTCAAGGGGAACATATTGCTTCGTCTGATTAGCTCCGTCACGCTGGTTGGTGGCAACACGGAGACATCGAGGCACTTTCTCAGTAACTCCTTTGTGTCATCATCGAAGGGCACGCCGTTGGGCGAACCCAACGTGTTCTCCCATGAGATCTCTGGCGGATCTTTCGCTAGCATCTGTTGTAGTGCCTCTTCTGCAGCTCGATTATTCTGTGAAAGCACGATATGCGAAGATATGCAAACTAATTCCTAAAATGCAAAAATATACCGCTGATATTAAATTTTCAATCTAATTTAAAAATTCCATGAAAAAACACTAGTTTGATGTTGAATAGAAGATTTAATTCCCAGTAAAAGAAGTTACATAATAAACAAACACTTAGGCCCGTTTCTACCAATATAGTTTAATTTTAATCTCGGTTTAAAATGACTCTTCATCTTTTTCCAGTTCTGAGAATTAGAAAAAGATAAAAAGTAAGTTGAATTGAGATTAAAGTTAATCTATATTGATAGAAACGGGCCTTAAACATGTTTCCTTGAAGAGTTATTGAAAAAAATTCTTGTGTATTATGTTTTCCGCATTCATGTTGTGTTATTCATCGAAAAATTTCAATATAACTATTGCAAAAATAAATGAGAAATCAATTGGAAGTAAGGACGTTCTCCGAACGTACCTT